TTCATGGCGTGAACGAGACTTCCGTCAGACCACTCGAATAAGGCTTTGCTCTTGGCTTCCAAAGATGCAATCTTCTCCTGTGTGGCAGCGTCGACCCTGGCCAGCTTATCCGCCGCAAGGCCGTGGTACTGTTGTAGCAGCACGTCCAGCGGGCCTGTCGCATCTTCGCCAAGCGCTCCAAGAAGAGCACTCAAATCACTCTTGAGAGTCTCTGAGATGGTGCCGCGATTTCTCACGGGTCTCTGGGAGCCGATGAGATCTCCCGTCTCGGTATTCTGGTGAGCGTTGACGATGTGCAACTCCTTTCCAAGTACGTCGCCGAGAATCTGGCAAACGGTGGTTTTACCACATCCAGTCTCTCCCACGAGAAGGACTGGCTCGTTGTTGAGGATGGCAGCATGGACCAAAACGTAGAGGCGACGCATAGCGCGAGTCCACACAACGCCGTGGTTGTTTGACTTGCCCAGAACCTCGGTCAAGATTGGTGATGAGTTGGCAGTATACAGAACGTCCGGATCAATCTTAACCTTGAACACGGTCTCGATAACCTCTCTAACCGCAGTCCGCTCCTCTTCGGCTCGGACTCGCTCGGCGAGAAGCATGAATCCATTGATGGCAATTTGCTCTCGAGTGTCTGCTTTTCGCAAGGCCCATCGGAACAAGTCACGAAGCGTTGCGAAACTGTCCTTTTGCTCGAACAATCGACTCGTCTGGCGGAGACGAGAGAGTTCCTTGTAGACTGTGACGATTCGCTTGCAGTCTGAGGGTGCAGTATTGATGCTTCTGTTTTGGAGGATGTACTCCAACTCGTCCTCGGGGATGTCGTCAAAGTGCAGCTCCAAGAAACGGTTACGGAACGCACGCGAAAGCACCTTGCGGCCACCGTACAGACCAGGAGGGTTTTGCGTGGAGAACAACATGAAGTTGTCGTGCGGTCGCACGATTTCCTGTGTCTCGGGGATCAGGAGCTCTCGGTTGTCGTCGAGCAGACGGTTCAGTGCTTCCAGAACGTCGGTAGGGGCAAGGTTCAGCTCGTCCAGGACGATCCAGTGGCCCTGTCGCATGGCTTGCACGAGGAGACCTTCTTGGAAACGAAGTCTTCCTGACGAGTCCGATACATACGTTCCCAGGTATTCTTGCAGGTCCGTATGCTCGTGATTGTTGATGCGCACAAACTTGTTGCCCGTGAAGTTGGCAAGATATTCAATCATACTCGTCTTTCCTGCTGATGTCGGACCTTGGATGAGAATGGGGAATCGCCGCGTAGATGTCGCTCGAACGAGGTTGAGAAGGTTTCGTTCGACGTAGGGCGTGATGATGTAGTCGGTTCGCTCCAGAGTCTGTTCTTCTCCCTGGGCAAGCCAGTAGTGACGATCCTTTGCCTTGTTACGGAATCGCACATATTGCTTACCATCGTCCGGTTGTCTTGGCGATTGTGAAAGCAAAGACTGGGGATTGGAGATTCGGCCAAATAGGTGGAGGTCGATCAATGGCATGACCATCTTTTCCGAGTTCCTGTCAAGAAGGGTAAGGAATCCCATGGAGAAACCCTCATACACGGCTCGACGAATGCCGTAGAAGGGGGCAATGTAGTTGACAAATGTTAAGACTCGGGTGAGAGTACGGAGACTGAAATGCGGCACTTCGTTGGCTCCATCCACGATCCTCTTCTCCTCGGCGTGTCTCTTAGTGTTCATGTACAACGCCGCAATATCATCTGCGGCATGTTCATCCTTGATGCTGCTGTTCCTCAGGTACGTCTTGACAATGGTGACCAAGTCCTTTACGTCCTTGTCAGGGCTGTCAACGTAGAGCTCAGTGAACCGAGACCGGATGCCGATAGGGAGATCACGCTTGCCCACATCTGTCGCCGGGTTCATGGCACCAAAGATGCGGAAATTCGGGTGTGCTCTGATCCTCTCGATCTCTCCCGTTTCGGACAAGAGAATCGAGGGGGTCTCGACCGGTCCTGTCAATAAGTCCGCGATGGCTTCCAAAGTATCAGGGGATGCCAGATTAATCTCGTCGAGGAGCACCCAGTCACCATTCCGGGCGGCCTTGATAATATTGCCCTCCACGAAGGAGAATGCGAATGCGGTTGAGCCTCCAGACAGTTGCACCTCGAATTGATCCAGGCTGTTGGAGAACTTGTCCCAACGGGGACTGAGTTCCATGAGGCTCTGAAGCTTGGACTCGGTCTTGCGGCGCTTCGTTGGCTGGCCTGCCTCGTCACGGGCTTGGCTCTGCTCCCTCTCGCGCCGGGCAAGCTCCTCGACGATCTTCTTGAACATCTTGGGCGCTTCACGCCAATACTTGGCCGCTTTCGCCCACTGCCCCTTGGCGAATGACTTTCCTAGCTGTTCAAGGTAGCGCTGGTTCTTCGTTGTCGAGATGCCTGTCGCCGAGAACAGGTCCTCAAATTCCTCCTTCAGAGGAACAGCCAGACTCCTCACGTTGACAGGCTTGAAGCCTCCCAGAAGATCTCCGGCTTCACTCTGCTGGGACAAATTAATGGCGACTAGCTTGTGACCCAGCGTATCGGCCAGCTGCTGAACGACTGTCGTCTTTCCGATACCGGTCTCACCGACGAGGAGGATCGGCTCGCCAAGATTTACAGCTACTGCGGTCTGCTCCAATAACTTCTTTGCGTGTGTTGTACTGGCAAAGGGCTTCTTGGCTAGGGCGGCCTTGTTCACGCGGTCCTTCCGCTTCCGCAGTGTTGATCGGCCAATCTTGAATAGACTGTCGTTTTGCTCGAGCTCTGGGATATAGCTTCCCAGGTGGTGCTCGACTAGCTCCTTCGGCATATGCATCTCCTCAGCGATGCCGAATATGAAGTGCTGCCTTGCCTGGATATCGGGAATACCGGCAACGAAGCAGTCAATGGCCTCCTTGAACATATTCATTCGAATAGTGTCAGTGACAGGTTCCTCGCCAGTTTTGCAGCCTGCCTCGTGCAGTGTCGCTGCAAGGCGTCTGCACCACCGCAACAGGTCTCGCAAGCTGGTTTGACGGTCGGCCATGCCGCGACTGGACGACAGGGGAACGTTGCCGGACATTGGCTTCGAAAGGCGCTTGTATACAGCAAGAATTCCAGGCGCAAACTTGTGCAAGATGGGGTGGGATCCAACAATGATGTCCTGGAGCTCGGTCTCTGTAGGGGTCTGTACCGAGAGAAGTTGCCAGAACCGCATGCCCAGAAGGTTAGGAAGCGTCTCGCGACCATGCATGCCACGTGAACTTCTCACTGTGCCAAAGAGACGGAATCCATTGGCAGCCTTGATACGCTCACCCCTGCTCGGGATGAGGAGCTCGCCGCGCTCGATCAGGGGGAGAAGTGTGCTGATGACTTCGTTGGGTGCTCTGTCCAGGTCTTCGATGAGAACCCATCGACCTTCCCTGACTGCGGTTGTCAGCACACCGGCCCTCCATGAAAAGGTTCCCGGTTTTGAGTCGGTTGAATAGAGTCCAATAAGCATCTTTGCATCTGTTTGCTCATTGATGTGCAATGTCACCATCTCGGAATGCTTTCCAAACTCCTTTGCAACTTCATGAACCAGTGAGGTCTTTCCAGAGCCGGGCAGGCCATGAAGCAGAATCGGGCTTGCTTTCTTCAGGAGGCCAGCCAGACTCTCAAGGTTTTTGGTGGTAGTGGACGTCAGCACAAGGGACGAGTTCTTGTCGACCGGTCCCGACGGTCTCGGCAGTATTGTCTTGCCGTAGCACGCAACATAGGGAGTGAGGGATTGCGGTGGAAAAGAGTGGATTTCATTGCTCTGTGAAGCATCGCAGAGCTCCCGGCGCAGGGCCGATACCTGCTTGATCCGCGCATCTTCATACAGACTCAGGAACCCGTAGTCTACCTCGCGCCCATCAAAGTCAGCGAGGACGGCCTCCGTCGCCCCGATGTGCTCAGTGATGAGAGCTTCCAGCTTCGAGTCGGCAGCGCGGAGGAGCTGGGTGAAAATCCGGATGGCCAAGTACCGAACGGCGCGGCTCTCATGTGAGAAGAGAGTCTGCATGTGTGTTGGTGAGACCAGGATGCCGTAGGTCCTTTGATCGAAACAGACGAGCCGCCATGATGCTAATAGTAGCTTCAAAAGGTCGGAATCTTGTGTGGGAGAAAAAGTGGTGAGTTTTGGAAATCGGAGGGTGAGCGTCTGGATGGTATCCGGCGTCGTTTTCGTCAAGTCGTCTCTCATGACATGCTGCAGGAATTCCGATAAATACGGAGCAAATGGCAATATCCTCGCAATAGACGCAATGATTTGTCTATTCTTGCCATTGACGGCTTGGTTGTCGAGGTTGAGGAGCCAACGGGCACAGATATCAGGAAAGACATTCTCAAAGTGAATGAAAATTCGATCTGTAAGTTGGGGAATGAGAGCGGCCTCTGCTACTGCGTCGAGGAGGCGTGAAGAGGTGTGATTTCTGATGACCTCTAGTATTTCGGTGGGTAAATGCTCCAGAACGGTCGCGTCGTTCAGGAGAGCGCTCCTCTGCGTCGGCACGTCTATGGAAGCCATGGTGGTGGCTCAATTATGAGATATGTTGACGGCGGTGATGTTCATGGATGGCCAATTTGCATGTACCTACAACTTTTTTTTTTTTGGTCTGTACTCCAAAGAGACAGAGGACCCTTTCCCGGCGCGCGCCAGCCAAAAGGCAACTTTTTTTTCCCTTTGATGGGGCCCGCCGCGGTGTGTTCGACAGGGGACCCTGCAGTGTAGCGTGTGTAGGTACTCCACGGAGCGGAAGGCGGCGCTACAGAGCCCCCGAGCCAATCAAAGTGGAGACGACTCTGCACCATTCACGCGACTGGAACCACCTCATTCGCAGGAGCTCGAAAAACTTCAAGCCAGAAGATATCCCGAGCTAAGAAACCTCCCTGTTGCTTGAGGCCGAACTCGATTCTCGACGACAATCCGCTCCGCTCAACAACGCCAATTGGCCTCGTCTCCTCCCGCACTCTTCATTTTCTCACACGACAACTACACACAATGGCTCTCTCTTGCAGATTCGCAGCCCAGAGCTGCGCCCGTCAGCTCCGTGCCACTGGCTCGATGCGTGCCTCGACATCCCTCTTCCAGACCCGAACTCCCGCAACCGCACGAAGGTACAACTCAACCGAGGCTGCTGCCCCCACGAACCCCAAGATTGCCGCCATTGTCGACCAAATTAGCACCCTTACTCTCCTCGAGACCGCAGACCTCGTCTCAAGCTTGAAGGTTAGTTGAAGCAACAGCAGGTGACGAGCGCAATTTCTCCCCAAATGGACTCGTCATAGGCATTTAGGGGGGGGAAAGGATCATGGGCTGAATGCTGACCATATCCAATCGCAGTCCAAGCTCAACATCCCCGATCTCCCCGTTGGTGGCTTCGCCGCCGCCCCTGCAGCAGCTCCCGCCGCTGTCGAGGAGGCTGAGGAGGCCGCACCGGCGGCCGCCGAGAAGAGCGTCTTCAACATCAAGCTCCAGGCCTTCGAGGCCGGTTCCAAGCCCAAGGTCATCAAGGAGATCAAGAACCTGTTGGGTCTGAGCTTGGTGGACAGCAAGAAGTTCGTCGAGAGCGCGCCGAAGCTGATGAAGGAGAACGTGGCCAAGGACGAGGCCGAGAAGATCATCGCCGCCATGAAGGAGCTTGGCGCCACCGTCACCATGGAGTAAAATGGCCCTAATGGCTGGTTGAGGCTCGCTGGCTGATGTAGACTGGAGCGCGGCCCCTCTACTTGGGAGGAGATGTAAAACTCGGGGGGGGAAGCATTGTGTTGTCGGACATCTGGGTTCGGATTGGTCTAGACGGACGTGTATGAGTGTATAAACACCCATGTAACAATATTATCACAAAGACATACACCACCTTTTTTTGTATTGCCGTACTAAATGGTCTCTTTTTGCAATTCTTGATTATGCCTCAAGCTACAAAAAAAAAAACAAAAAAAAGTTGGCTAACGTTGATAAATAAAGACATTGACCCTAGTGCTACCTGTGGTATTTGTCGTGTCGCGAAACCTGACCCTCGAACGCCCTAGTTTTTTCCACCCTTTTCCCCGAAACGCCAAGATATGCTTTGGAAGAGAACCCGCAAGCTCTCACTCAATTCTTCTTTCCATTCGTAATGCGCGTACTGGCAGGACCGACCGGCGGCTTAGGAGGACACGAGTGCTTCATAGCCTGAGAGCACTCGGCAAACTCCTCCTTGCCCAGGATGTGGTCGTCGTCGCCGAAATCGCTCGTCTCCTCCCAAATCTTGTCAATCTCTGCGTTTCCGTGCGGCGGGATGGCCCATATGCTCTCGCGCAGCCGCTTGTGGCGCTCGCGGTCCTCCTCGATGCGCTGCTCAATCTGGCGCTTCTCCAGGCGCGGGACTCCGCTCCGGCCGTTAGCCGGGATCGCGTGGCTGGGAGGCGCGTCGCCCATTTCGACATCGCCGTTGACGGGAGACGAGAGGCCCGCGTCGTGGGCGCTCGTCTCGCGCTCCTTGAGGACCTCTTCGATCTCTATGACTGTGCGAGCCTCGAGGAAGTCCTTGTCCTGGAGACCTCGGAGGACCTAAAATGTTTTTCTCACGTCAGTTTTTACACAAAGCTTGTGCGGGGCGTGGAATCAAGAGAGTATCTCACTCTTCGGACGACTTTGACGTTGGCGGCGCCGGATCCGTCATCAGGGGCGACGGCATCAACGATGCGAATGATGTCGCGCTGCATCATGCGGACATAGTCCATGTGCTTGTCCTTCTGAGCCATCTCAAGGAAATGCTCAATGAAGTACATGATATTGGCGCGCGTATTCATATTGTTCTACAAGGAATCATAATCAGCCATTGTCTCATAGTCTCTCACGTAGGTCACACTTACGCGCTCCAGCTGCTCGAGGATACAAGAGTGTAGATCCTCGTCCATATCCTTATACTTGAGGGCATACTGAGCCGCCTTTTGAGCAGAAGTGACGGACGCATTCAAATGCTGCAGGGAGCTACTGAAGCGCATCCGAACCTCGAAAGGGTCCGCCATGTTGGGTTACAGCGGACTTTCGGTCCCAGTACTGATCTTGATTTAAATTTGAACCGGGCGAACTGAGTCTGGGGTGAGAGTTTGGGATGATGTTGAAAAAGCGGCGGATGATGCTGGGGCTGAGTTAAGGCTTGTTCAATGGCACCCGAATCCGAGCTGTCACTCTTTCCAACTAAAATCGCTGGGGGAAGTTTCCCACAGGGAAGCCCTGTGCTGTTGCCTCCATTTCGGGTGTGTTCTCATTATTGTGGTGTGGTCAGCACTGTGCGAATATCGAGAGATACCAAGCTAAGCACAGTTGGGCTTAGCGCTGGAGAAAAGCCAAGTTCAGTGGACGAAAACCTGTGGACGGACGATATCGGAACAGTGGAGAGCTTCTTTTTCTGCAAAAGGAGGTGGATAATAATATTGGCCAGGGGATTCTTTAAGGTAACGCAGCCTTCATCTCCTATCTTTGTCTGATAAACTTTGTTCTTGCACCCAAGCGACCCTTTCTCCGAAACTGAGGTTATTCATTTTACTCTGTTTTGCTGTTGTTTTTTCTTGGACTATAAGTTAGAAGCACCATCCTTGGTGCAATAGAAATCCATCACTTACACCGCATTCTCATTTTCTCTCATACCGCTTCTTCATCATGTCTGTCATGGGAGATCACAGCTCTTCGGAGCTCACCATGACCGTTCTCGGTTGTGGTAAGTAAAAGTCACTCGTACTTATAATGAGATAAAATATCCTGACTCTCGACAGGAACCATGGGTATCGCCATCCTCAACGGCATCTTCACTTCCCTACTGGAAATGCAGGCTCCCAAGCCTCTTCAGACCCTCCACACCCCCTCGGCGTCGGGCATATCCACCCCCTTGGGCGATGAGGTCCCCCATCGTCTACCGTCCCGCTTCATCGCCTGCGTCCGCCGCTCCGACAGCGCCAAGAAGGTGAAGAAGGCCCTGTGGGAGCACTCCTCCATCCTCAAGGTCGTCCAAAACGACAACGTCAACTCCGTCTCCCAGTCCGACGTTGTCATCCTCGCCTGCAAGCCCTACATGGTCAAGGACGTCCTCAGCGAACCGGGCATGACCCGCGCTCTGCACGGCAAGCTCCTCATCAGCATCTGCGCCGGCCTCACCGAGGAGCACCTCGAGGAGATCCTCCACGGCGCCGTCCCGACAAAGGACCCCGAGGAGGATGGCCGCTGCCGTATCATCCGCGCCCTCCCCAACACCGCCTCCCTCATCCGCGAGAGCATGACCGTCATCGGCGCGCCGACTTATCCCTTACCCCGCGAGGCCGCCAACCTCGTCACCTGGATCTTCAAGCGCATCGGCGACGTCGTCTACCTGCCCGCCGAGAATATGGACGTCAGCACCGCCCTCTGCGGTTCCGGCCCAGCGTTTTTCTCTTTGGTTCTCGAGGCTGCCATCGACGGCGCCGTCGCCATGGGTCTCCCGCGCGCCGAGGCCACGAGGATGGCGGCGCAGACTATGAAGGGAGCCGCTGGCTTGGTCCAGAACGGTGACCACCCCGCCCTCCTCCGCGATAAGGTTACTACGCCTGGTGGGTGCACTATCGGTGGTCTGTTGGTGCTCGAGGAGGGTCGTGTGAGGGGTACCGTTTCGCGTGCCGTGCGTGAGGCTACTGTTGTAGCCGGCCAGCAGGGCCAGGGCATCCAGGGGGTGAACGGCACTCGTTTCGTTTCGCAGTCGGGATATCCTCAGTTCTGAGATGGTTGGGAAAAGTTATAGATTTCTGCGCAAAAGTACATAATGTACAATCCTCATGAATAATGAATAAATATTTGTTATCTACCTTGACTTATCCGACCAATGTCGTGTTAACTTATTCTTTCCGCCTAACCAACATCTAGTTGACTGCTTCCATTCTAGATGATACATTTCTAAAACATCAAACTTACTATGGCATCTAAGCTGTCTCAAGCATTCGTTGCCCTGAATGGAGTAGGAAGAGTTGTCAATGGCAGCAGTCATGGTCCTTTACTCTCCATTTCGGCATCTTGCACTTCAAATCAGGAAGAGTATCAAAAGCACAAAACAAAGAATGATTTAATGATAGATAACATCCAAGTTATAGCAAAAGTGCAAAAGCTCGGCCCCCTCACGGGGAGCCTACGAAAACCCCTGCCGACTCTGTACATCCTATTCCTCAGGTGTAACGCGGCAGGAATTTTTCACGAAACTCGAACTCGCGACCTGTGTAAGCGGGGCAATTCACTCAGGACTTTCCCCGCTAAGTCACAGGCCTTGGTGATAATATCGAGCAAATTTGCTGATGATAGAGGTATGGAGGCGGCGGCGGTGGGCGGTGAGCGTATTCAGATGAGGCTGGGGGTGATGGTTGGGATGAAAGGGTGTGATGTGAGGCAGCTGCAGTCGTTCCCTCCTCCCACACGAAGGTATAGGTATATTACTCCGGGGAGTCTACACCACATAATAATGACATTACACTACGCTATGCAGTGTGTATGTGTTCATACGATACTGAACGGAAGGCCGCATGGCTATGATTCTTTACATTTGGGCTAGACATCCAGGTCCACCCATCTAATCTATTATCCCTATGGTAGTCGCCTTTCTTTGTCTATGTCTATCGCTAATAATTGTGTGGGTTGCCTTGGCCTCTCAAGGCCATCATTTACACCATCTTACAGTCGCTGTTCACTTTTAACAAGTCCTTGATGATCCCTTTCTCTCTTCTACTGACTGACGCACGAATTCATATCCCACAACGCTCAAAACCGAGAAATATCCCTTCCAAAAACCCAAGTGACGAACCAGTACACCGGGACCAAGATCTTGTTTCGAATACTCATTGACTTGGTCAAATAAGCACACCGCCACAATATCCAAGCTGCACAGCACCTCGTTAGCTCATACAGATCCCACTACGTGCAAGGAGTGAGTATAACATACCTGCTCTCCCCTTGAGCTCATCCGCAGAACTCTGGTGGATGGCACGCCAGCTACCCAAATACGCCATGGCCCCGAGATTCCGGAACTTGAACGGCTTCCCCTCCTCCAGCCCAGCCGCGGCCGCCTTATTGAGCGCCTTGGCGAGGTACTTTGCCTGCTGACTCGCAACCTGCGCCGTGGCAGGAAGAGTCTGGCCCTCGAGAACAGAGCAGTCGCCCATGGAGTACACGTCTGGCAGCACGGCGCCCTCGTTCTTGGGATCGTCGAGGCGGACCCTCAGATGCGCGTCTGTGACGATGCCGCCGCTCCGCTCCGCCTTGAGAATCTTGACCATCTCAGCACCACCAGCACTCTGCCCTTCACCATCAACAGCAGCAGCAGCGGCATGCGGATTCCTCAACTCCTTCTTCATCAGCGTCTGCACGAGCGGGTTCTGCATTAAGCCCGTGCTCCACACCACGATACCCGCGCCGACCTCCTCCTCGCCGTGCTCCTGGATCTTGAGACGCAGCGCGCCGCGCGGGTCCGTCTCGTCCGGGCGGATGCGCTGCAGGTGGTGGTTGGTTTTTACTTTAATTCCCTGGCGGCGGAAGAGGTCCTCGGCGTAGGAGGCCAGCTGCTGGTCAAACATGGGCAGGACCTTGGGCGCGATATCGTAGATTGTGATGCCGACGAATTCCATCAGGTGCGGGTAGAGCTTGGAGAGGTCGTCGTGGATCAGGTCGTG